CCGCCTCCCGCCTGGGACGAGACCGGCCGCGCCCCCCCGGTCCAGCGGCGGGAGCCCTCGGCCGGGACGCCAGCCTCAGCACCTCACCTGCGGGAACTCGCGCCTCCCGTGAAAGGCTGTTCCAGAAAGTTCCGGCCCCTCCCCCGCGGCCCCGCCCCTCCCGGCTGCGCGTGCTGACCGACCCCACTCGGCCGCTGCGGACGTGGAAGAGAACAGACAAAGCTCCTTCCTTCCAGGAGCTTCTATGCCGGTCGTGCGAGAGGCACCACGAGCCGATACACAGACCCGTTTACGGGCGGCGAGAAGAAAGAAAAATAAAACAGGCCGAGGACCGAGGCAGAGGCCACACGTCCCCAGGCACGAAGGGCGTCTTGGCCTTTGATCGCCCAGTCGTGAAGGCGACGAGCGCGGAAATCTGCCGCGGAGAACGCTCCAGGCAGACGGGCGCACGGGCGGCCGCTGAGGAGAGGGTGGAGGCAGCGGGAACGTGCTGTCTCCTCTGCCGTCCGCCGGGCCAGGCCGCGGCGGACTCCCGGACCTGGTAAAGGTTGGACGTGTCTACAGGGTCGTCGGTGTGACGCAGACGCCACGTGACTGACCCCTGCCCCTGTCATCGCTGCACAACCCCCGGCCGACGGCGCAGACGGCGTCGGCGCCAAGTAAACTTGTACCAAGCAGCAGCTTTTTCGACCATGTTCACATGTGCAGGGCTGCCAGGTGATACACAGGATGCGGTGTTCGTGTATTCGATGCAAAAATGATTTGTCATCTGAAATTAAAGCTTAACCGGGCATCTTGTACCTTTATTTGCTAAATATGACAAACCTGACGTTGCAGTTCAAGTGCCAAGTTTGAAAACGTAAGGGCAGTGCTGTGCCAACCCCTATGGCAGCCTGAGAGGGAAGGGAAAATGTACGCCTCTTACATAGTGGTTTGGTATGTTTTTAATGGCTAATTTCCCCAAAACATCAAATTCGTTAATATTAAAAGTTGGTATATTAAAATTCACATTGGCCAGGCG